AAACTAGACTGCTCATTTTATTTTTAAAATAGCAAATAGGAGTGTGTGAATTTATGATATTAACATTTGAGTGCTGTATTTTTTCCTTGGGTCAAGTGTAGTGCAATATCCCCAGGGCAGGTGTACAGTCAGCCAGCATATACATTGCCTGTGTCAGAAAAGCATTTTGTCCATTTTTCTCAATCTTGATCTAATGGGGATTGTTAGGGAACGAGGGAGATGGTACTACAAAGAGCTTCTCTTTGTAATCTTCTGCTTCTTTTCAGCAATTTTATCTATTGTTATGAATTGTGCTTGCTCTCTGGCTAGTGTTATCTGTGTTCCTGCTGTCGTTGAGGAATTTAAGTAAGAATATTCCTGTAGGGGTGTAAGTGTCTCTCTCTGGTCAGAGGGGGTTTTCTGATCACTTGTTACTGGAGCTTGATTTTAATCACTGTCCTGTGGGGAAAGGAGCTCCTTGGTTGGCCGCTGAGCCATTCAACTTCCCTGTCTGAGGGGAAGCCTGTCAAACAGTCTGTGTTCTCTGATGCTCTAAAGCAACATCTGGGTGGAAGGAAGGCAAAGGCAAGTAACCATAATTGCATATCACCCAAGCCAATAGAAATCACGGAGGAACATGTGTGTAAACCTTTTTGAATATTGAAAAGTGAGGTAGGAGCGGCAGAGAGCCAAAGTAATTACTTTTGCAAGGGCTGTAATTTTCTGGACATAAATACTAGGTGGAAAAATGGAGGATGAACCCAAAATGTTTTCTGTCCCTGACATGTGTGCTGAAAGAATATGTATTAAAATGCATGTTTTTATTTCACCTGGGGTTTCAAATGTTTGGCAACTAAATCATAGAGATTTGGGAAGTAACTGAGAATACTTCGGTGCAGATCAATAAAGGAACTGAGAGCAGCCCCTTTGTAGCAAATGGGGAGATTGTAACTTCTTGTATCCTCAGACCAAGGCATGCATTTTGACATGGGTGTGCTGTGCCCCTGGACTCCTCAGATAGTTTGGTGTTTTGTGTCTGAAGAGGCATGATAAATGCAACTTTGAGCTAGTCCCTTTAAAGGTCTTTAAATCTGGAGTTAAACAGTGTATGTATTGCTTTTAAACAGTTGTGGGCCTTCATTTGAGGATTTGAGTTCAAAACTGGAGACCGTTTCATTCTTTCTCTGTGACACTCACTGCAGTTCCCCCTCCACCCACCCTCCCTCATATTTAATTTTATAGTTCTTTCAGACATAAACATGAAAAAAAGCAATTTTGACTTAGTTTCTGAGTGTTGCTGCAAAGAAAAGTAACAAACATCTGTTTTTACCTTAACTGCATCCATATGTTCAACCTCCCCATCACCCTCCTTCCCAAAAAATTTACAGCCGTATTTGGTGGGTACTGCATACTGTTGAATTAACTTTCTTCACAGTTAGATGAGAGGGTAAGTTCAGAGACTGAAAATAGCCATACTAAACAGTGGCCAGGAACTACATTGTAGCTAAGCCAAGTTTTCAAATCCTTTACTTTCCTTCTTCTAATTTTCTTCCCTATTCCCCTTTTCCCCTTCCCACATCCCAAGAGAAGAGGAGATGACCTAGGAGGCTTTTTAGGAATGGGTAAAATCAGATAAATGTTATCTTAAAAAATTTGCTTATGGCTTTCATGCTTTTAAATTAATTAAAATTTGAAATATAATGTTATATATGTTAGAGATGCATACTGTGTGAATTACTGTGAAGGGCTGCTTACCTTGTTTCATTTTATTACTTCTTGTAGCATCTGGAATGATTCTGGCCTTACCAAAATTTTGGGTTTGTAGATGATTAATAGGAAAAAGCCAGTTTTATTGAGGTATTTGAGAACAGTGAAATAAAATGTGGTATGATACTATGTTTTACTTTGTGGCACACATCTTGCTTTCAGTGATAAGAATTTGTCAAGCTAAAAATATCTTTTGAACAAAGGTTTTGCCTTACCAGTTTTATGGTGCTCTTAATAGATGTGAAACCGCTTGTGCATATTTCCCAAACATTTCTACCTACAGTCATCTAAATGGCTGTGTGCTCCAGAGGACCCCAGCAGTGTGAGAACATGTGCCCTTCCTCTACTGCTGGAGGAGCTGTCTGTCTCTTTGTAATACTGACTGATGCTGGTAATAACTTCTTTTCGAGAAAGCTCAGTTACAGGCTAGGCTAGAATTCACTGGAAGGGAAGTGGAGAATGACTTTCTGACTAATGGGCATTTTACTGTATTTTCTCAGGTGAGTGGTAGGTTCTTTTCTTCAAAGGAGATACTAATTATATCTCTGAGAAAAAGACTCCCTGGTCCTACCTGATTTTCTTTGACAGGTTGAACAAAAGTCTGAGTGGCATCTGGTGGCTCTTTCTGTTACATAAATTGAGAGAATGGGGATTGATTCCTGCTCCACCATCACATTTCTGGTGACAGAGGGAGGTCATCTTGCATCCTTCTGTATGTGATCTTTCTGACTTAGACCTTGAATGTGGAGTTGACATCTGGATTGACTTTGAATACAATCTGGGAAAAGGAAGGAACCATTTGGGTTTGCTAGTACACTCTCTTGGTCATTATTACAAAATGTGGAAGCTAAAAAAAGAAACCTTTACTTTTTTTTTTTTTTTGGTTTTTTTTAAGCAGAAGGAATGCAGAAGATTTTTTTCTGAAGTCTAGCCACTATGTCTAGACATATTTGTCCAAATGTGGTTCCCTTTACCCAGCAGCTCTTCAAATTTCTTTTGGATTACTAAAGACAACAGTAAAGACAATGTACACATACCAGTATCTGTGTTTTTATGTTCTGTGTACAGATCTGATGGTTTATAAAACCTTGTTACCTGTGGTATAGCATGATATGAATATAGATTTTTCCCAGTTCTGTTATCTAAAAGGGAAATACTGTGTTGGGGGCTCTAGCAGTCCTAGAGCTGCAGGCTCTCATATTTTTTAGAACAACTAGCTAAGCTAGAACCTAATGAGTCTAGAGGACTTGCTTGTGCTGGAACTGTAAATCATGAATTCAAGCAAGATAATAAACAGTGATGTAGAAATTTTCTGTTAAGACTGAAAATGGAGAAATTGTGATCCTCTGAGTCAGGGTTTAGCAAAATCATTGTCTCATTGGTCAGCAGCTTCACCAGGTCTGACAGATGCTATGTGGAAACAGTGCCCCTTGATTGAGTTGGGTTGAGTAGAGTATTTTATACTTGTTCTACATCTGTTTGGGCTCTTGTAATGATGAATGTATTTGAAATACTGTGCATCAATGCATGATATCTTGTGTTTCATTTTCCGTCACTATTGGCACTATGTAAGAGTGTATAGTTTCCAGAGGTAGCATTGGGAATTAAAAGACATACCAGATTTCAAGGTTGAGATAAAAAATCTGACTTTATTTAAATGCTGAACATGAGCATTTGAGAATGAAAGTTTTGTATTGATCATAAGTCAAAATACAAGGAAATTAAGAAATCTAAAACTCATTATTGACCTCAGTGCTTCTGTGCCCAGATTTGAATTTTAATGTAGCATGTCTCATCAGCAGGAAGGAGACTGACATGGTCTTTCTGAGCTTTGGTGTTTCATGAGTCTGATACTGCTGTTTCTCAAAAAATGCTCACTGCATCACACTGTGTGTATGTCACATTTCAGCCAGCTTTTTGATAACTTACTTATTCACCAGTTCTTTGAAGATTATGGAGCTTCCCAGAGTGGGCAAGAGTGTTAGAATCTAACTAATTTCAACTCTTGCTTTGGTGAGTTTAGATGTTTCAAAAGCCCTGCCAAATATAATAAGGTCAAGTGTTTTAGATGGCATGTTTACTATCAAGAGGATAATTATTTTAAGGTCTCAGATGCAGTCTAGTTTTGACTTTGTTGTTTCTGTAACAGGAGAACACCCTAATAATGGTCTAATGGTTATATAAAAACAGTTGTTTGTAAGAATAAGGTTAGCATAAATGTTATTCCATTGTCTCAAAAATTATAAGGAGTGGCTAAAATAGAACAGGGAATGCAAGTGTAAGGAGCATTGAGGAATGTTGAACTGTGAAAGAGAAGAATTAGAGGAAAATACCTGAGGCATCAGCCCATGTGCAGCCTACTAGCCCACTGCAAAAGCAAGGTGATTAGTTTAGCTTACAATGAAAGAGATATAAACTAAGCTGAATGATTTGTAATTCTCTGTATTATGGGTCTGTTTCTGTGAATGGTTCAGGGACCCAACCTGAAAAGAAGTAACTTGTTGAATTTTGGCTGCTTGATGTTATCTTTAAACCAGTGGGCCAAGAGGTGGCAGCATGGAAAACTAGCTGGACATGCCTGTGTAAGGTGTATAAGTTCACAGGTTTCACCATAATTATTTTTAAGTAATCACCAGACATAATATTTTCATGTATTTCCTATGAAGAAAGTACTAAAGCGTGTTGCTGAAGATACAGAGAAACTTTTAAAAACCCCTAGTATTATGCCTTCATGTTCTCCTATAGTTTTGCTGTTGGTAGTTTAATGCATCCTAACACTGCTCTTCTTGAATAAATCTGGAAGTAAGAATAAAAGCTCAGTTTTGCTTTCCTTGTAGTTACTGCTGTGAAATGAAGCAATGGAGTTTAACATACAATACTTAATACCTACAGAAACTTTTTAAAAGTTAACTTTTGGTTTTGAGTTATGATACAAACAGGATAAGCCAGTGTTAGAAAGGAAAAACTGAGCCAATAAAGAGGGTTTCTGATTATAATAGCTTGTTTCTGTTTAATATCATTGAGCAGGATGAGGTTTTGCAGAGTTTCTCATGGAAATAGCATCCACAGTACTAAAATGATTACCTCATTCTTAGTACCAGTGCCAAGCACTTAGCTCCACAGTGAACACACGGGGTTGATTTTCAACATGAAACAAGCCAGAAGTGTGGAATGACATTTTCAGGTGACAGTTATGGTTCTATTGCCTGTAATTAGCACCTCTTAACATGCAAACCTGCCTGTGCCTTTTCCAGGCTGTGGAAGCTCAAATACGAAGTTTTGGACAGACCCCTTCCCAACTGCTCATAGAACCACATCCTCCAAGAAGTTCTGCCATGCAGGTGGTAAGTGCCATGTTAACTCCTTGTGACCTGCCATTGTGCTCACTTCCTTTGCCATCTTCCCTTTGCAGAACTGGACACTTTCACTTTGCTTTCATGTGGTTGTGGAATTATGTTATTAAAACCAGCAGATGAGTTACAACTTGGTAGAAGTTGTATGCAGTGATTAACTATTTTTTTTTATTTATTGCTGAAAAGATTGCATTGATTTCTAGTGTAGGTGCTTTTTTTTTTGTCAGTGTAATCTAAGAACACTTCATCAGTTGATTTTGTTAATGCCATACCTGTACAGGTGAGAGCCAGTCATCATGGAGACAATTTTGTTAATCTTTGGCAGATTCCCCAAGAAGCATGGATTTAGGAGGTGGAACTTCCTTGTCTTTTCCCCCAGGCATAGGCTTTCCCCTAAAACCAGGATTACTAGGAATTCATGAGCTGAAACTTACATAGCAAAGAATGTGACTAAATGTGTTTTGCAGTAAAGCTAGGGTGATAAAATCCAGGCAGTGAGCATTAACATGCTTTCCCTTTTACCTCTACTTGTGTCTAATATAATTTTATTATACAAACTATTATTTTATTACTGATTGCTTTTCATATCATGTTGTGTGCAGTCCTTGGTTTTAAAATATCATTTGTGTTGTCATAGGTCCAGAACTAAGGATGTTAAGTGATATTCTGACAAGTGGAGCAAATGGTCTGCTAATTCCCAAGGTTTTCAAAAGGTTGCATTCCATTGTTTTTAGAATGGACATTTTACACTGCATTGTAAAAGAAAAAAGACATGTCTTAGAGGACATGCAAGAAGAAAATATGTCCTACTCAAGCAAACTAAAGTTATTATTTTTAAAACATATCTGAAGTGTAGAAGGTTTTAAAAGATTACACAGAAACGTCAAATATTTCCAAAGCAGCTTGCAAACCTTGTGATGCAGGAGTTTAAACTGAAGTGTAAACTTCCTTGATAAACTGAGCTACTGGCCTTTCTCAAATGCTTCACATGTTGTACCTGAGAGCTGCTCAGCTGCCTGTGCTCCATGCCCAGGTCCCAGGCCAGCAGACACTGCAGGGACTTGTGTGTGTGTTTCAGGAGAGCCCTGCTAACAGGGATGTTGGGGAGCCCAGGCACTCCCCTTGTGCAGCCACTTGCCATATGTGTGTCTGTCTGTCATGGTGCCATCACTGAGAACTTGCTCTAATTTAAAGGGATTTGTTTCAGGAAGAGGAGCAACTCAAGAAGTTGATTATTGATGTGTTAGTCAGAACCATTGTTATATAAATAAATGTGATACCAGGAAGCAGTTTGTGTGGTTTTAGCATAGTGTTTTTCATGATGCTGAGTTACCAAAGATTTAGCATGTAATAGAAGAAGTTAAAATCTAAGAAGCTAGCTGTTTCTAACTCCTGTGTTTTTTTGGTCTGGGGTACACCCAGAAAAAAAGCCCTTAGTTCTTCACTTGCTGGTTTTGTGGATATTAATATATGTTTTCATAATAGCACTATATTAAGTGGTTTTAAAAGTATTCCTGGAGCTGAAATACAGTAAGGATATTTCTGCTGTCATAATTTTGAATTATTTCTAGTTGCATTATTTACTGAGTTTTGTTTTCGTGTGCATGTGTGCATGAATACAGCTGAATTGGAAGTTACCACGTGCTGTGTTAAGTGCACAAGCCGTAATATACACCAGGTGTAGTAATTAGCAGTCACATGAAGGCTGCCTATTTGTCTGGTTTTGCTGCTGTTGCTGTATCCCCTTGTGTTTTCAACCATCAGATAGCTGGATTTAATTGAGGCCACATCAGATGAGGCATTACTGACACCTTTAATTGAATGAGCATCCAGGGAGGATTAACTCATAATATTGATTGGCTTTTAGCCACTTGCTCAGAAGGGTGTCTGGGTAGCTTATTAGTTGCTTTTATTTACACCTTTATGCAAAGACTGTAAATAGGAATTCATAGAGCAATATGTTTTTCTAAGTACTCTTAATAACTTTTTAAAAAGGAGTGATAATAAAAATGCAAATTTATTTAATTTTTTATTAGTTCTGTATAAATATACATTAAATGTATGCACTTACATACACATATATGTAATGAAATATTGCAGGTGGAGAGTAGCCAAGGACACTTCATTAGTATTCTAATTTGGTTAGAAAATTACAAATACTTGAGTAATGTGGCTACTGGTGACCAGGATGATTGTACCTCTGCATTTCAATGGGGTTCTCTTTTTTTCAGATGCACCACACAGTCATAAACCCATTAGGTGTTGCTTTTTCTCTTCATGCTTCATATCTAGATCTAAGGTTCTCAATATTTTGTTTTGATGTTTGCAGAATTCTTAGAGAACTTAGTTTAAAAAGTTATTAAACTTTTCAGCTTACTAAACTGAAGAAAACTGAAACCTAAAAAATTATGTTGAAAAATGAGAGTCTGGGTTTATTCCCTCCCTTTAGCATTTCTGGAAACAATGCAGGATAGTGTCTGTAATCACGTCCACTTCGTATTCTTTACAACTGCATTTAATTATGCTTGTCCTTTCAAACACATTTGCAGTTAAGTCTTCTACTTTGCATTCATAAAACTTATTTTTGTACACCAGAAATATATACAGAACATATATCTAGTGTATGTGTTTATCTGTTTATATTAATGTGCTTTCATGTTCTCATCTGGCTTGTAAAGAATTACAGTCTGCCAATTTAATGCAATTTGAGACAATCTCTGGGAGCAGGAATTTCTTTTGCTTGCTTTTTTTTGTGTTTCCCTCCTGGTTTGGCATTGCTTTACTTGACATACTATCTCTGCAGATACGAAGGAGAATTATTTTGGCAGAGATAGACGGTTGAAAACTTTTAGTTTAATCTGCTGTGATCTGTAGCAAAGTCCGTATACAGACACCCAATGTTCAACAAAGCCCTCAGATTAATAGGATACATGCAGGGTTTTCTCCCTAAAATGGTTATTTCCACAAGCCTGTCCACTGTTATTGCATTTGCTTTTCTACTGCAGCTTCTATCGGATCTCGTGGGTTTTAATTCAATCTTCCTTTTCTTGTCCTGTCTCTTCTCCTCCCTGTGTTCTCTTTTCCCATGTATTTGGGTTCTTGTTGTGTGCACTCAACAGTATCTCCTCCTGCAGAGCCCCTTGATGTTCACAGAGCAAGCCCAACAGGATGTTATCATGGTCCTGAAGTTCCCGTCCAACTCCCCGGTCACTCACGTGGCTGCCAACACCCAGCCTGGCCTGACTACTCCTGCTGTGATCACGGTCACTGCAAACAGGCTCTTTGCTGTGAACAAGTGGCACAGCCTCCCTGGTAAGTATATTAAAGCAAGAAGCCTAAGAAACCCCTGCCATCTAGCAGCACTTCTCTTGTCTTGTCACAGTTTGCTGTGGAACTCTTGTGAGTTTAAGGTGGAAAAAGCAAATCGAGTTCATTAACACAGTAGGCTCTTCACATATGGGCTTAGTTTCTCGTTCGAAAGATAATCTGAACTATTGCAGCAAGATGTGTAGCACACCAAACGTTTGTAAAAACGATATATTGCTTTCCAGGCCATCAGGCACCATGCAGGGAGACAAAATATCACTATTTCAGCATGATAAAGGCACACTCTTCCTCTTAAATTTGTTCTTCTGTCTGTTGGGAACCTGAACTATATCATGTCCAAGGCAGTTTTAAAGCATGTAGAACTTGCCAGTTTTTTCTTGATTATAAACTCTATATTCTGCTGTTAAAGCCACCCTATGAGAATTTGAAAATAAAATATATGGGAAGTCTTATCTTAAACATCGTAATGTTACTTATGTAGGTGCTTAGGTATTGTCAGTATGAAAGGAGAACAAAATAGCCATTTTCACAGCAACTAATAAAATTAATTTTTCTTTAAAAGTGTGCTGCACTAGAGAGTATAATTCTGCTTTTAATTCTAATATTCTCCAATCTTAAAGACTTCCGTCTTCCTTTCCTTGACTATGACAGTCTTAGGCCCAAGCTGTCAAAGGCAGTTTATTTTGGTGCAATGCAGTATGATTTAGCCAAAGGCTTTTTAAGAGAGGGGGAAAAAAGACCTACTCAAATAACTTAAATAGAAGATACTCACACTAGAAAAACACTTACACGGTTGAAATTCCTACTAAGAAGTCTTGACCCATGGTTCTTGATTACTTTTTGAAAAAAGCCAGATGACTCCCGCACTTTTTCCTAATTCTTACAAATTACCTCTCAAATAAAAACATCTATGTATTATTTCACCCGCCTGAGAAATGCTTGAAGAGAAAGGTGGGAAGGAAGGGGGGAAGGGAGACTTGTCTAAGATAACAAGTTGAAAGTGAGAACTATTTACAGGGCTCCTGAGATTTCTTTGAAAGTAGGATGACAGTATCCTCACATACCTTGGATGTGTGACCATGGGCATATAATAGTCAAGGCTTTTAAAAAATGGCCTTTGTGAACATACAACAGTCATGGGAAGAAGAAAATGTTCAAAAGTGGTAGGAGTTGATTTTTATTGCAATCCTGCTGGTTGATGATCCATGAGCAAGCCACCAGTTTGGTGAGTGTAAGAATCAACTGGTTCCAGTTGAACAAAGCTTTCAGATTTTTCAGGCTTTTCCCTCATCTCTGAAAGGCAGACCCCTAAGATGTGCTTTTGAGTAGCAATTTTTTTCATTTAGAGGCATTTTACACTTGTCTTGCCATTACAAAGAATTCAGAAAAACCCACAGATCAAGACAAACAAAAGCCAACCATAAAAATCCAACAAAAAATCACCCCACTCCTGTGAGAGCACCCATCAGTTTCAGTCTATTAATAGAGTACTGTGCTTAAGATACCTTGGAAGGACTCCTGAGCCTTTGCTATTGTTGACTTCTGATTTTATACCAAAAGGGGATCTCCTAGGATGAGAGGGCAGGTATCATTACTGCTCCATATCCCCTGCTGTGGGCTTAGCATTGTCTTTGTTAATGAGGCATCATGATAAAAAAGTTAAGTTGCCAAGTGACCAGTTGTCACTAATGTGTAACTAAAAAGCCCATTCCTGCCTTTGAATATGAATTTGGTGGCTTTGCTGACATCTAATGGCACTGGTAGCCAGCAGGATGCTCTTTTTCATCACCTAGGTTTGATGTTTTATTCTATGATAGTGTTTCATTGCAGTAGAACTTTGAATTTACTTATGAATCAGCTATTTAAGAAAACATTGTATCAACGCTAATTTTTATATTAAGCTGTGGATGGTAGATAGAAAAATCATATGTGTAAGTATTTAGCCATTATTTCTTGTTTGTCTTCCAAGAAGGTATTGGGTGGGGTGGGGGGAACAGTTTGTTTGTTTCTTTGTAGTGAAGCTGTGGAAAAAAAAAAGGTTTTCTTTTTATCCCTTCAGGACAATTCAGTACAGAAACATTTTACTGGTATGCCTGGTGCCCATATGAAATATGGGTTGGCAGAATAAATATATTAACTTCTATGCAAACTTGCAAATAAATGGGTTTTGGTGATGGATGAGTCCTTAAATACAGGCTGACTATGAGATGACTACGAGATTTCCCTCTCTGCATCATAAACCGACTTTTAAAAAAAATGTCCTTTGTGCTTCAGTTGTTCAAAGCAGTGCTTTAAAAAGTAAAGAGGAAAATAGTATTTGCTACAGTCAGCAGATGGTTGTCACATTTTGTTTTCAGTCCTCTTTACCACTTAATTTTGCTTTGTTGCGACAGGAGAGGTTGCCAGTAAAGCATCTGCTAGAGCTTATGGCTCAGGACCAGAGCTGCTGCTGATGGCATACATTCAGAATAGCCCTAATCTAAAATAAATGTTTAATAAGCAGCCTGCAAAAGCACCTGGATTTTTTTGTTTGTTTTTCATTCAGTTGATGCAGAAGAATCTTGAATAGTTAAAAAAAAAGGGTGTAGCTTTGATTTATAAAATATATATGGTGTCATATATTAAAAAAAAAATACAAAGTTTTAAAATTTTCTTTCCTGAATTCCAGCTCATCAAGGTGCTGTACAAGACCAGCCTTACCAGCTGCCAGTGGAAATCGATCCTCTCATAGGTCTGTCACTTCCTTCTCTCTTTGCGATTCATTAAGCTCTGTATGGTGGCCCTGAAGTGTAGATTACGGTTGTTTTTCACTTGCTGGTTGCTGGGAATGGAATTTTCCTGATAAACCATTTGCATGCAAATTGGAATGCAATGAGCTGTGGCTATGCTGGTATTTCATCAACTCCCCCTCGTTGGTTTGCCTAATTTGAACAGGCCTAGGACGCGTGTCAGTGAAAATTAATATGGATGCTGTAATAATGTGTGATTGAGAATGTGCATGAAGTACTGTCAGGATAATATTGGATCTTTTCATCACTCAGACTTGTTGATGAGCAGGAGCGAGGCACGTTATGATGAATCGGTGCACTGGTAATGTGATGGAGCTCCTTTGCTGAGGAAATTTTCATAATAACAGTGGGGTTCTTAACTGCACCGTGTTGTGAAAAATAAAACCATGGTGCCAGGGTTTCATCATTAAAGGAGATCAATCCTTTCTTCATAGACCTGCTGTTCAGGCTGAGGGGATTAATGTGTAATTGCAAAGCAGTTTCGAAGTTGAAATATATTGCCCACTCTGGTTTAGTGCTGAGATATTAGTATTCATTTTTCAAGTGCATTGCATCTTTTGATCAGCTTCACCAGTTAAATTTGTGTGTTTTTTTCTTTTATTAAAAAGGGGTGGATGAATGTCTCTCCTTTATTTAATGACTCAGTGTAATAGATGCAATTAATGATTTTTTATTATAGAGGTTTATCGGTTTATATAGAGCTGATTTTTCAATTAGCAGGTTTAGAGTTTGGTCAGTTCTTTCATTATAGGCCCAACTTTAGGGAGTGCATAGCTGGAGTCTGTACCATGGCAAATGGAACTTTAAACAGGATGAGAAAAGAAAAACTCAAGTACCTAACACCAAAACACAAACTAGCTGTAGGACGGGAGCAAAGAAGAAAGCATTCTGTCCCACCTGAATTTTTTTAGGCTTTGAGCTTAGTTTAAAAACCAGCTGTTTCAAGGTAGTTTAACTGGAAAAGACATGGTGTGGCCAGTTACAGGAACATGGAAAACTCAGAGCAAAGATGAACTTGCCTGGATAGGTTAGAATGGCAGTGAGAATTAATTTCAAGACTAATGTGCACATCCCAGTAGGAAGTGCAATATTTCTGTCTGCAGATATAGACCCTTCCTCTCTAGCCATTTTGCTGGATAAGCTTTAGGATAATTAAACCAGGAATAGTAGGGGCATATGAAACCATTTTATAGAGCTGATAAGAGTATAGTGTTTTTCCAAAGTTTCTGAAATCAATCCTCATATGAATAATGCAATAATTATTATGAGTCAGACACATGCTGTAACTCTCCTTCCTGAAACAGATTTTATCCAATAAATGTTGGGAGCAGGAAATCTGTGTTCTGCTTTAAAACCTGCTATCAAGTAGATCTTAGAAGTGTAAATAAATATTACAGCAAAAAATCCCAGATTACATTGGTACAAAGACCTTTAAAGTTAGTGTTCACATTCTGAAAAATGGTTTAATATTCTCTTCCTACAATAGATCTCAAATCAGCCTTGTAATTACACTGGACATAGTTTAAAAGGTTTAAGGCTTTCTTTGTCATTGCTAAGTAGCATCATTGGGTGCAAGCAAGTAATTATGTAGGTAATATTAGAGGATTTTAATTGTGGCTAGACACATTTACCTAGAAATGGTACCTAAGAGGACCACAAAATTACACTTTTATGGTTATAGCAGGAATCTTGTTGCTGTCTTAGTCATAAGGAGAGATTCCTGCCCTCCTCATTTACCTGGTGCACAGGAAGACATAAAGCAGCAATGTCTGATATGACACAGATCCTAGACCTCTTTTTGAGGTGAAGATTTTTGAAGGGCTTATCCTCTCTGAATTAGTTGATCTGCATGTTTTTTGAGGTTCCTTTGCTGCTATTTTGTCAAACAGAGCAGTTCACTGTGCATTTATATTGTGGTGTTGTTACTCTTTAAGTCTCCCCAAGACCAGTAAAGGCCACATTTGTACTGCCTGCAGAGAGCAAGTGGCAACACCTTGCTAAATTATTTGCTATCCATATGGACAAAACAGTATCAACATTTTAAATAAAGCAAAAGCATAAATAAATGAAGGATTTGATACAGAGTAAATGGAACAAACCCAAGGCTTGGGAGATAGCTGGCCTGTGAGAATGGAAAGGAGTCAAAAAACAAAGAGTAAAGAAGAGCACAGGACCAGGACAGAGGTAGGTCTGGAATACTGCCTCGATGGAAGTAATGGTGCTCCGAGCACTTGACAGACGCACCCAAGAGAAATTACTTGCCTGGGATAGAAATCAGATTCCCTCAGGAGCAAAGCATACTGAAAGTCTTCCTACAGTGTAGGATTTTCATATCTATGTATGGGAGCTATATATGTGTGTATATATATATACACACCTTATTAATCTAAGGATAAGATATGAGAAATGTGTTCACTAATCGATTCCTGCCTATTCCGTGGGTTCCCAATGAAAGAATATCTCAGGAAATGAAACATGAAGTGATCAAAATAGGGCAAATTATTTCTCCCAGCCCTAAAATTAATTGGGGAGATAAGCTAGTTAATTTTTGTGCCGTGTTCAAAAAAATGTAAACTGTAGTGATGCTTACTGAGGTTTTTCCTTTTTTAAATGACAGTGCTTGCAATGAAATGCAACTGATGGACAATTTAAAATCATGATCCTTTGGTTGCTGCATTTGAACCACTCCATGGTCTATGTATTATCATACTATTACATTCCTTTGTTTTGTTTGTAATTTTAAATTTCTTATACTAGATCAAGGAGGGAAGGAATCTTATTACATTTCTGTGTACTGTTGCCTATGTGCAATCTTTCATTTATTTCTCAGCTGCATGTCACTTAAAAAGGGAATTTATTCTGTTTTAGAATATACATTACAAGGAATTAGCATTGTTCCCAGAAATGTAATGAGTATGTTATAGTAGAATTAGAAAGAAAGTGTCCCTGCTGTAAAAAAAATAAATAGCAGAAGTGAGGAATGTATTTAGTGTGAATGTAAGTTTCTTAATTGTGCTTTTGTTCTGTGAATGTGGATGCTAAAATGTCTTGATCTGTATGTTTTTCTGTTCAGCCAGCAATACAGGTATGCACAGGAGGCAAATCACTGACCTTTTAGACCAAAGCATTCAGGTACATTCCCAGTGTTTTGTCATCACCTCTGACAATCGTTACATCTTGGTCTGTGGCTTCTGGGACAAGAGTTTCCGCGTTTACTCTACTGACTCAGGTAATGTATTTTTAAAATACGGGAACAGCCTAAAAGATTTTTTTTTTCTGTTCATAATCAGCCTACTTTTTCAAATAAAGGATGAGGGGTGGAGTGTGTATTTATTCCCCTATTAATAATATTTGTCAAATCTTTCCTTGCCTATTGCTGCCATGTATTGTGTGTTGTCATTTTTTGTGGTATGATGGCAAATGTGAGAGAAAGAGCTCTGGTTTAGACTGAGCTTCACACTTCAAGCTTATAAGAGAGGGATGCCTCCTCTTGCACTGTAGTTTCCACAGGTGAGAGTTTGTGTAAAGCTTGGTATACCAAGAGAGTTAATTATTCTTAAAGTATTTGCTTGAATTTAACCTTGGTCTTTCAGCATCAGAGAACTGGGTATTTTTCAAGAAACACAGGCAAGTACCATAGAATAGAAGTCTTGAAATCTGGTGAAGGAATATTTATGAAAAGCCTTTGAAAACTATGCCATACTAGAAGAATTGATTTGGAGCGACTGAATTCTTTTATATAACATAAACTGATCGATATAATGGGCAGCAGTTAAATTAGTCTGTCAGCTGGAGTGTGTCCAAACCATTGAAGTCATGCATGTGTGATGCTAAATAGAAAAGAATCTTTCAGTGTAGCAGCTACAGGAATTTAAAAGCCATGGAACCCCAGGAAAAACTAGGTATGATTCTTTTTCCCTTTCATTATCTTTTAATGGAAATAACGACCTCACTGCAAGGTACTTCTTTGGGATTAATGACCCAGTGTGGTTAATGTGTGTGTGCCATCAAGCTTTCCAGTAGGTTATTAATCCCTAGGGAATATCCTACATGTTTGTCATAGTTTCTTAAATATATTAGGTAGCAGTGTTTTTCACACTTGGCAAACCAAAATGTCTGACAAAACAGAATGGTCTTTAATGAAAATCTGTTAAGACTTTAGATCTCATGGCGTACTTCGGTATTTCTGTCATTTTTACAATTTTAAAGCCTTAACTATGAAGGAGAAGTTCCATTTATGTAATATTGACTGCCCACAATTCATTATACAGACATCTTGTTAGACCCTTCTTAGGTTAATTTTCTCATTGATGAAAATTAATTTACATAAAACTGTGAATTTAAAGTGGATCATCAAAAAGGATAGCTAGCAGTAATAAATATTCAGTATATATTCTTGATTTATATGAATAGAGAAATAATTCTATTATATCAAAATATGTATTTTATTTCACACCTATGGAAGGAGCTTGTATGGTTCTGGTAGCCTTGCCCTGTATCAATCTGAACTATAAATATCTCTTTAAGTAATTTCCTCTGTGTAAGGCAGATTTATCAGGCACCTTGTTACTACCATAGCCAGTAAGGGTATAAACCAAAATACCATTGACAGAAAAGTTTCAGATTTGTCTCTTCTATTTGTCAGTATAACAACTCTAGCTTAAATGAAGTGAATTCAGATGTAGTTTACTTTACTCCACATTGAAATGAGAATATAGTAGGGAAATTTTTTGAAATCAGCAGAACATCATGGGGAATAGATGATGTGATCAGTAAGGCATAAAGACAAGTGAACACAAGTGCTGAATTCAATTACATTTTAGGACTTGCACAAAAAAAAAGAACCATTTTCCTATGAGATCTTGGGTGTGTTTGTTTGTTTATAATAGGAAATACTTTCAACTTAAATTATGGGTTCTCAGCACAGCCAATCTAGCAGAATAACAATAAAACCTTCCTCCAGCAGTGGGAATGACTTCGAGAGAGTGTTTTAGCTTCAGTGCTGGAGACCTGAGTCTTACTTTTCTTTTAATTATTTGTAGCACAGCTGTCAAATAAAGCATTAACTAGAAAATTTGTTCTGTCAAAAAGGGATATCTGAGTGCAAATGGAAAAATTTGGTAGTATTGTATAGAGAGGACAACTCATGTTAAATGAAACAGGAAAGTTTGTGGAACTCTTATGAAATTAGTTTATTTATTTTTTTTTTTAAGCAATATAAAGTAGCAAAATCTAATTTCTTATTTTGATGAAACTCATTGAATTTTAGGCTGCACAGTAACAAAATAAAACTAACCAGGCAGAAATAACCTTGTAAAATGCTTGTTTTCCAGAACAGAACCTATAAAATAAGAAATAATTGAGAAAGAGATCTCTATAACTCAATGATGTTTATAGCATAAACTTGCATTCTAAAAGTATAAATTACCTTAGGTAAATGGTTTTTCATACAGCTGAAAAATATATTACATAATTATTTGATCCCTGAGTTACTCACCCTTGTGCTACAAGGTGAGTATGCACAGTAAGAGTGCAGCCAGGAGTTTGCCCTGTCCACTTAGAAATGGCTCATGTGGTAGCATTCATCTCTCAGTTTTCATTGGAAGGTTAGAGCAGGCCTAATAAGTTTTGCCAGTGTTTGATTTTGAATCTTTAAATTGCATCTGGTTATTTTATTTTTTCTTCACATACAAAAGTAGTTTCCCCTCTTTTTCTTGTAGATATTCATACATATCTCTTGTTTTATTTCTGTTTTTCTTCACTTTAATGTAATTACCTTTTTGATCTTGTTATAAATCTGGCTGTTAATATTACTTTTGTTCTTTCCTCAGAACCACTTCCTTAAGTCTTTCATTCCCATTAATTGTTATTTAGTGGCTGGATACAAATACAGTGCTTTTGTAACATTTAAAAAGAGGCTGGCAATATTCCCTATTATGCATATTAAGGAACCAATAGTTTTTAATTAATGCACCAAAATATTTTATTAAAATGTGCTTGAATCCCAACACTAATCTGTGTTATTTTTAATTTTTTAAATGCTTTTCTGAACATTTTATTTAATTTTATTTTTATTTATTTATTTTCAGAAACACAGTAGTCTTATTTCCTTTTTCTCTTTTTGGCTTGTCTTGTCAAGCCTTCCAAAGCCATCACTCTTTTTCCCTTCTGTTTCTCCTCATTCTTTATTCAGCCCAAAGCACAAATGGATGCTTAGTCATTTGGGCTGAGAAAGCCAGGGTCATATGTTGGAGGCATCACACATCACACTTCCTTGTGTCATTGAGTGCAGGATTTGTCCTGGCCCCTGCTACCTGAGTGGGTGCATGAGAAAAGTGTGTTTTCTTTATCCTGCTTTTTCAAGATCTGCAATTGCTGGGCTTCAGCAAATCCAGTTAGACTTTTGAATAAAGAATAATATTAAGAGACTGCAAGTATTTTTTTGTACAGGTTGTATGGACTACAACCACTTTTAAATAAGTTTACACCAAATAAATAAAGAAAAAATATTACTCCCCACTATAGTTCTATTTTGAACTTTTGTTTAAATTTTTTTGGATAAAGAAAATATTTTTAAGATACTTCATAATATTTTTAATTTGTCTTAGAATAAGAGAGTAGTTTTAAAAGAATCAATTTTCTGTGTTCCAGGTAAACTGATGCAAGTAGTGTTTGGCCACTGGGATGTTGTGACCTGTCTGGCTCGTTCTGAGTCCTACATCGGGGGGAATTGTTACATCCTCTCAGGATCTCGGGATGCAACCTTGCTGCTCTGGTACTGGAATGGCAAAACCAACATCATCGGTGATAACCCAAGAGGTAAGAAAAAACCAAAAAAACCTGCTTTATAAGGAGCTTGTCTCAAAATGCCTTGAGCAAACACTTCATAAGATAGAATTTTAGATAGGGTGCTACATGCCCAATTCTCAGAGTCATGTATGAGGTATTCTGATTGGTTCCAGTGAAAGCAACAGGGCTCACATCATATAACCAAATGAGTAAGGCAGAGTAACCCTGTTCCAGCCTCACTCAGTTTTAACCCCTCCCACCCAAACTTACCTTGCACTTGCCAAAGTGTTTATTCTATTCCATCTTGCAGCATTTCCCAGGAATTCCTGAATCCTGTCTTATATTCATGAAGATTCTCCCTTTTATCTCTATAAAAAATAGTGAACTGCTACGACTGTACAACCCTGTATTATGTAAGAGGAAAGGCAGAAAATTATCTTGGTTTATGCCAGTTTGACTCCACACAAAAAAAATTAATTTCTGATCCCCAAAGCAAAGAAAAAGGCAGTTGAGAAAAAGCCTAGAGGAAGCCATTTTATGGGAATGAGGGCCTTTCAAGACAACTTCTGGGAGCTTATATACATAAATTTAGGGGCACATCATATCCAAGCAGAGGTCCTGTTCAGCAAAAAATAAAATGCCTTGAAGGGAAAAGATAAGAAGAGGATATTGTATCCTATGAAGAGTATTTCTTAGGTTTTCTTCCATTCATTTAAGGTCTTCTCTGACCCTGTTTAAATAGTAGTAAAAACTGCTCTGCAGAGGGCAAAATGGACATCTGGAAACCAAGAATTGGTATTAGAGCTGTCATATATTGCAGTTATAGCTGGCACACAATTTTACATAATTGAAACAATACCTGACATCTTCCAAATTAATCAATTTGGTAAAGTTGTTTGTTCCATATTCAATCTCTTACATCTGGAGTTATTTGAATTTGAAACACAGAGGTGGCTTGACTTAAATTGCATCCTTTGAGCAACTTTGAAGAAGCACAACTAATTAATATCAGAATGAATATCTGAATTTAACTTGCAAATTGTTTGATGTTGACTGTGAAAGCTATTCAAAAGTTGAACAAGATGCAGCTCAGTTCATACAGTTGCAGAATCTTAAGGCAGAGGATGTGTGAAAACTATCCCAATTATCGTTCCAAGCAGCCCTGTTCAAGTGATGGTGGTTTTTCTGGGAAGTGGCTAGCAGTATTTTATGAGCATCTTTAAATAAATATGGCTTTGCTTGAGGAAAAAAAATCTCTGTGAATACTTCATACATATTTTGCAGTCTATCAATTTAAAGAGAACACAAACTCTGTTATTTTTTCAGACTTTGTAAACTTGGAAACTCCAAAGAGTTTGCAGATTCTTAAGCATGCCTTGAGAAGTTGTACTTGTCCCACACTTGCCAGGCTTTGCTGCTGTGTGAATGAGACTTTGAGGCTATAGGCTCCTTGATCACCCTAACAGATCATTTGCTGAGGTTCCATACCTACTATTTGAGCCAAATATGTAGATTTTGTTACAATCTATTGACACTCTTCTCTAAAGCAGATTTCTAACATATTAGTATTTTGCAGTTTTCAGAGGTAGCACCAGGCAATTCTAGATGGTCTTTAAAATCACACTAGCTACCTGGTAAATCTCTGTGCTTGTAGTTCTTTTAGACTTGGACTTCTAGGGACTTGCAATGGCTCCTGTGTTTACCAACTGCCTTTATGTAAGGTTTTTTTGTGATACAGCATGCCTGGAAACCTCTGTTATCAATTGGAATCTCATGACACTATATGTATTCCTAGACATGGGTATAGACAGTTCCTGCTTCAAAGAGATGGTAATCTGGGGTGTTTAATTTTTCCCAGAAATAGCTGTCTGTAGGCTTCTCTGTTCAGTCAAAACTTTTTTTGAAAAGACAAATGAAAAGAGCTGTTTCTGCTTAGTTCTGATTTTGTCAGAAATGGAAAGCACCAGCAGACTTGTTGGGTTCTGAGCCCTGTTACTACAGCTGTAACTTCCATCCATTTGCAGCATGTTGGTATTTAACTGGTCTAATGTCTTTCTGTGTTTGAAATTCATGATTCTTTTACCTCAAAATACAGTTTATTCATACTTTCAATGAGCACTATTCACTGGAATTTTAGGTACTCTCAAAGTTGATATTTCTTTTCTATTTTTTCTCTGTTCAATTATCTCTAATGTCCATCTTAAGTTGACTTCACAGCAGTGTGCATCTAATGATATTTTGCCAAATCATGGTGCCAGAGTAGTTTCAAGAAAAAGTGATTTAAACCAGGGAGTGTTTATTTCTTCCTTTCACAGTACCTGTTGCCTCAGTTGTACATCAGCTGGCAGGCTGGTATGATCCATCTACTCTAAATAATATCGCATTAGGCACCCATTATTCCACCAGTTATATTTTATTGACGTTTACTTGTCTGATTTCTTTACTTTCAGAGAACTGAGCTCTGGATTTCTGGCTCTGTATATTCATGTTTTTAGAATGATACTTAAGCTGAAAAGCCAGGTGGGCTGTGGCATGACATGATAAATAAGTGGCTTTGTATTCTTTATCAAGGACAATTTTATGGCTAACTTGACTGTATTGAAAAATTCTCTTGTTTTGATTTAACAGAAGAAAAATGTCACTGAAATACTTATTATTTACATAATTTAGCTTTTAACTGTGAGTCTGACTTTTTAAAGAAATTACAGCTATGGAGTCTCACTATCTTATTTAGTTTCTCCCCAATACCTCTCAAATGTATTGATCACTGTAAACCAAATCAGACAAATTGAGGTCTCAGAGATATAAAATTTCTACATGGGACACATCTGCTGGAAACTATTTTGTTCTTCACAAAACAGCTTGATCACATTTAGATGAAATAATTTTTTCCTTCTCATATTAGAACCTGAAATGTAAAAAAAATATTTCATTATGCTCTTTCATCAAATGTAGTTTTTCTCTTTCTAAATGAATTGGTTTTGAAAATGTAAAAGCATGGCACTACTTCTCTTTGGAGCACAGGCCCTTTTTGATACAAAAATGTTTCTGGGGACAATTTCTGACCAAGCCTTGGAATAATTTAGAACAGAGCTAAGGATCTGAAGTAGTTGTATCCTTTGGAATAGCCTTGAGCCGTTTTGCTTTCACATTAATTAGCATAATTTACTGTGGAGATGTAAAGTCACTTTGCATAGTGCAAGGGGCTTTTCCTTTTCTCTCCTTGGCATGTGGCTGGCTTGGGGGAGGTGGGAGGGAGAGGATGTGGCCCTCCCCTTGGTACTCCTTGGAGCCCATGTGTGATCTGTGGCACACAAAGTTGGCTTCTGCATATTTAGAGGCTCCAAGGCACCACTTGGGGATGTGACATTATGCACCAGGACTTGTGTGATAGAATGTGGGGATTCCTGGGAGAGGGCTATGGAAATATGCTGTGTTTTGTCCTTGCCCGGCTTAAGGAGATGGAGGTGGAGGGGAGGTGAGAAGTGGGGGTTGGAAGGAGGGATTGTGTGATGTCTGGAGAAAAGAGATGAGAGAATTCATTTGCATACAAATAGTGAGCATCACTTTCTGATCCCACTTTCGCTTTGAAGCTCAAGTGGCAACTCCTGGCCTTTGGACATTTCCTAGGTTGGGGGATCAAATTTTCCTTTGTAATCACAGATCCATAGGAAATAGGGTGGTCAGGAGCTTTGATCACCTGACCTATTCGCTTTTCCCAATGAGGGCTTAACTTTGCCAAAACCAATCTCCACTGATGTTTGTCCAATCTTCTCTTAAAAACTTCAGCAAATACATTTTTGGGCCTTAGAAGCCCGATCCTTAGCAGTCTTTTCCCAGTGTTCGGTCTAGTATCCAATTCTTTTTCCAGAAGTTGCATTCTCTCATCTTTTATCTATTCCTTTGTGTAGAGAACAGATTATTTCCTTCTTGCAGGTACTTCCAGTTATTTGGATTGCCATGACCTGCAATTCTTTGCCTCCAACTTTAATAACTCAATTCTTTGTTTATTGCCATAAGTCATGTTTTTCCAGACCTCTGATTATTTTTGTGTTTTCCTCTCTCCAGTGGATTGTCTTCCTCAAAGTTGACCCAGGAATGCAGCTGAAGCCTTTCCAGTAATAAGTAGAAAACAACCTGTTTCACAGACCAGTACTTTTCACATCCCCAGGGAATATCTGTTTCTTTCAAAACACCATGACACTGTTACTGTTTTAAGGGCATGAGCCAGTATGAAATTCAGTGTTTTCTGAAGAATCTACTCACTTCTGTCTTCTTCTCTGTGTGGTATAGCTATGGAATCTCATCTTCAAACTTCCTGAAGTGTATTCTTTTTTAGACTTGTTTCTCCAATTTGTCAAACTTTGAATTCTCTTCCTGTCCTCCAGCAGCCTTACAGCAGCTCATATCTGCAAATATACTTTGCTGTCTTATTCTATTAAATTGGTCATTAAAGCAAATGTTGGCTAGTACATGGTTCAGGGATGCCCATCAATGGATTTACCATTTTGACAATGAATAGCTTTCTGAATATAGCTTTCCAGTGTATAATAGTATATTCTGAATGCGTGCTTCCCTGTTTTCCTTAAGGAATTGCTCACGTGGAACAGTGCTGGAGTTCTTACTAAAGTAAAAATATGTGATGTCTCCCATAACACATCCTGTTACTTTGACATTGCAAGAAAAAATAGCTTTGATATGATTTGTTCAGAACAAATCCAAATCAGCTGTTACTCATCTCCTTGTTTTCTTGTAGGAAATGGAGTGTGTATGTATAAAAATGTAAGTGTTCTGCCAGTACTTCTTCTGTCTGTTGGGATTAAGCAGACTATGCTCTTATTTTCTTTTTCCTGCTTTTTAAACAACATAAGACTTGTTTTAGTTTTGCAGAACCCCACCCAATATCCGTGAAACAATTGTTGTAGCTCTGGGATTATGTAGCTTCATTGTTACAGTATCCTCAAGTCACTATTATCAGGCCAGCTGAGTGCCAAACATTTACCTCATTCAGGTATTCTCTCTAGTTGAGA